AATTTTGTTTCATTAACATTTGACATTAACATCCCTTTGACATTAAAACGTTTTTTTCCAATACATTTTTGTGTGTGAAAAAAAAGACACATTTTATTGACCGTGATTGATTTATGAAAGCAATAAAAGTGTAAAACATCCAAGGGGGGGGTGAATACTCATACTAAGCGCTATATCTCAGTTCTAACAGAGGAGGAGCAAAACACACATCTATGATGATGTTAAAAAAAAAAAGATAACTGAACGCACAGGACAGATTATTTCTGTCTCTCTTTGCTATTTTCATCAAAAAAAAAAAAAGAAAAGAAAAAAATGTATGTGCAACTATATTTTTAAATAATAGATATTAATTAGTAACAGCTCCACCTATGGGGTGCCCACCCCCGCTTTAGGAACCCTTGTTTAAAAGAATAAGCTATTCCTCACATTATTATTATAGTCTAAGCGTGTAGGAGAACACAAAGTAGCCTTGCAACAATATTCAGTTTGTTGACTCTAGACAAATGTAAAGAAATAGATCCAACATGGTGTCCTGAAAACAACTGCTCCCGCTGGTACAATGGAAAAGGTCTATTTTTTTTTTTTAGTAAAGGAAATGCAGTGTTTTGCTTTCAGAAAAGAAAAACTTAAAAAACTGCCTGAATCATTTTAGAGCCTGAGCCAGACAAGGACATTTTACAGAAACCCACAGGGCACATCTGGTCCTTTAGGCATCCCCTGCGTTGGCAAGTGAGGTCAACTGCCAATTGAAACATACGTAAAAAAAAAAAAAGTTTTATTTCTAATATGTGGCCACATTTAATAAACTACCAAACAGCTACGTTTGGAAAAGGCTAAATACGTGTGCGGTCAAGTATCAAACTGTGATGCATTTTGTCCTGCTGATTCACTCATGTGTGATTCATTCAATGTTGGCTGGGAATGAACAGTTTATTACAAGAGTGTTTTTTTTTTTTTTGCTGCAGGGGTGATGAGGGCTGGATACTTTAGTCTAATAACACCGAGGCAGTTACCACCTCAGACAGTTTAGACTCGCTGCTAGACTAGCTGTTAATAAGTTCCGCTGCCGAAGGGTGTCATATTATTATTTTGGCTGCATATGTCAGCTTTGTACAACTGCCTCTAACCCCCAGAGCTAAACATGCTGGAGCTCAGCTAGAATTCTCATTGTCTTTTTTTTTTCCCCATCCCAATTACAACCATACCTCCAAGGCAGTGTTTCCCATACCCTTTTTGAGCCACGCCACATATATGGAAAAATCTGCGCACCACCAACCGAACAAAAATGTCACACAAAGTAGATACTGTGTAATAAAATATAATGATCTTCTATTTTTTTCTTCGATGTATCAACTGCACACCACCGAACAATGATCTTCTATTTTTTTCTTCGATGTGAAACCTGGGCCTGTTTAGTTGAATGCAACACTGATATATTGACAGGAATTGAAGAAAGACAATTCTTCAACAGAGCTAAGTTTTTGTTTTTTTTTACCTTTTATAGTCATCTGCTGCCACCTAGTGGAAGAGCATATACTTTTTTCTGACAGTCCCTGTTACATATATGGACAAGAAAAGAAAAATCAATAATATAATAATATAATACTACCTAGACCTATTGAATTAAATTGGTACATTTTCCCCAGTATGCATAATGATCCCTCATGACACATTAATGTGCCGACCAATCAGTGATTTGGGAATCACTGCTCTAATGAACACGTTAATAACGTGTACGCCTCAGACAAACATCATTACAAAACCTTTGTACTGTTTCAAAAAAAAAAAATGCTCGTAAAACCTGCGTTCTGTGACGCAGGAACTGACTTAATCAGTAATACATAACTTACAATAGTCAGTCTCCTCCTGTGAGCTGTTTCTTCCCACTTCTTTCGACTCACATCTTGTTGGGTCTGAAGGGCAGCTGCGTTACATCACTGCCACCCACAGTGTCTATTTTCCACTGGTAAACATTTCCAATCAGAAGCGCCGCAAAGAAGGAGAAAAAAAAAAACGTTACCGGAATTGCTGTCAGTTTCGACGTAGTGTTCGTTCTACTGAAAATGGTAATCGAAAATAATCCCATATGAATTAATGAACCATCTGCATTTATTCCTTTTCTGTGTCTCTGATTAGGGGGCGTGTCATTAGGCTGCCACTCACAGGGGGACACTCTGCAGCACTGGATAGACTGTCTGAAAAACAAGGGCACAAAGGTGGAACGCTGGCACACACTGACCAACGAGCTGCCCGGCTCCTCACAGCATGAATGAACATTCCTCCCAGCGGAGGGACTGCCTGGAGACGAGTCAACGCATGGTCTGAGGATTTTTTTGCATGACTACGACACTATGTCGTTCTTTCTGTCAGAAATTAGTTTTTGATTCATTAAATCCCCCCCCCCGCCCCCCAAAAAAAAGGCTGTTTGTGGAAGAATTTCCATAACATTGATTAAAATGGTCATGAAGAAACAACGGGACATTTTAGTTTAGTTGTCAGAACGAAATAAGAAAAGTAATTAAGTCATTTCAGGTACGCTCTTTTGCTCCTCTTAAGTTTGCCCGATTCTTTTCATCAACCGCTGACATTAGAAGCGCATTGTGAGCCCCCCACAGAACACATACCTCTCCCTTGCAATAATGTTTTGCCTAATGCTTCCGAAGATTTCCAAGTGGTCTTAATAATGTCAGACGTTCCGTTGATTATGTTTTTATTGCCTGCGCAGACAGCACTGTCTGGTTCGTCTTGTGGTTATTCTACGTTGATTGGTTCGTGGTACAGTACTTGCACTTGTGTTATTAATGGAGCAAAATAGAAGATATAGTGGCGAAAACACAGACCAATCATGTTGTATCTTGACGTAATAAAAGATAAATATGTACTGGACCGTGGCAGGATACAGTGTACAATAATGTGTTTTTCATAGTGTGGCTCTGATCGGTGTTTACCCACAACACATTTGGTCTGCTGAAGAAGAAAAAAATCACTTGGTCACATGTGATGACACGGTGATGTTTAAAAGAGGACTTTCTGGAAGATTGTAAGAGTTACAAACACATAATCATTCAAAACTGTACTGCGAGAGTACGCGGCTAATCACCGTCGCTGTGATTAGCAATGGGGCTAACACATTAAACATAATTAGCCCTGAATTAAAAATGTCCCACTAGCCTAACTGAAAATGTTGAAATTTGATAAAAATGCTTCATTCCGCAGTATAGACAGCTATTTCTAAATGTAATTGTTATTCTGTGTTAGAAATCCATTTTGAGTTATAGTCACTCATAGCGGAGGATCTGCCCCTGCCGCTGTTCAACTTAGGTTTCCAGGCACAAAATACTGTGAAACATAAAATAAGGATTAATTAATCAGGATTAAGTAGTTTGTACATACAAACTGGTTAACATTTTTCAGGATTAAGTAGTTTGTACATACAAATGATTTTTTTTTTCTTTTTTTCTTTTGGTAGCTGGTTTAAGTGCATTTGTTCTTAGCTCAGTACATTAGCTGTGATATGAGGACGTGTAGTGTAGTCAGTACATGCTATGTCAGTACCTCATACAACCAAACTTCAAAATACCTGAACAAGTATGTTTTTCAATACACGATACAAGGTGAATGATAGTGGAATAAAGCGGAATGTTTCTGAGTGGACTCTTACTGACATCTACTGACGGATAAAATAATCGTCCACATGGGAACATTTCTGAGTAAGCTATTCATTGGCGTTAAGAGCATGTGGTCAGGTGGTCTTTTTGAATCCATTAAGAATTACAGCTCGACATCATTTTGAATCCATTAAGAATTACAGCTCGGTTTTTTTTTTTTTGGTTTGTTTGTTTTTGTTTTTGCTATTGTGTTGAAACAGGCATGCTGAAAATACCAGTGGTGTTCCTAAATGTACATATATCTATTGTGTTGTTGTTTTGAAATATGAAGTGTGCACAATTTTTTGTTTCATAAATTATTCGCCTTTATTAACAGCCGGTGTCCAGTCCATTGTCATAATAGTAAAACGCTGCTGTTTGAATGCCACCCAGTTAATGCAACACTGCCACCTAGGCTTTAAAATATGCTGTTACAACTGATTGTTGTTGTATTTATACATATGGCACACTTACGCCAAAACGTCAGTTTGCTGAACACTGTCAACAATGAATTTTAATGTCTTTTTTTTTTTCCTCCGTAAAATAATTTACTTACAACTGCTGGCTACACGTAGGTCAAACTGCTTAGTCCCACACAGACTATAAAATCTGACTGATGTGACGTCACAGCGCGCAACAATGCATCGACACACTGAAACAAGTCTTGACTAGTTAGTGGAAAGAATATAATAAAAAAATACAAATGTTTCTGATCATTGATAGAATATCTAAAATGTTATTAAGAAACTTCTTATATGTCCTCTATTTATTTCTGTTTTTATTTTAATTTTTATTTATTTGTACACCTAATTCTCATTTGCGCTCTTTGCGCATGCGCAGCAAGAGCCTTTAAGTTATACCGGAAACGCGCGCTCTGGTTTGTCAAACAAACATTTTGGTCGTGGTCCGGTTTGTTAGGAAGGCACGAAGGGAAAGATATCTTGACACAAACGAACTTTTTACGTTTAAACTACACAATGAAGCAGTTTTATGTGACGTTCAGCCATTTTATGGACACTAGTGCGTTAGTTTTTCTCTCGATAAACTTTGTTTTGGCGGCAAGTTAACCTGCTAGCGTGTGTTTGGTACTGCGGTCCAGCGTTTTCATCTCTGTGGACACTCACTGCACAGCGGATGACTCGTCCGGATAAGACAAATGTTCGACAACCTAAAAGGTAAGAATTAAACTCTGAAGATATTGTTTTGTTATTGCACGTAATTTCAATTGTTCAGTTGTACAGTTTGCTTTTCGTTCGGGTTATTGTCATTTCTTCTGAGTTGACAAATTCTTTCTGCATTGACGGTAATCTACACTGCGAGGCCTTTAAATTTACGACATTTCCTCTCGATAAGGTTGAAGAGTTCTCATCCAAGAGGCTTCTAAAACTGAATTTCACGTCCAGTTGCCTAAAAGAACTCTTAATGTTTTTTTTTTTGGGGGGGGGGGGTGCAGTTTTAGAACACATTTTACAACATAAAGTTGTTTATCATACAGTTATACGGCTAAATAATATCACCAAAGTGAAAACAATAATACACGAACGGAGGCTAAACAAAGAAGAGTGTTAACTGTTCTATTTCTTGTATTTCATCAACCATTGTCAGCCACTGTTTATAACTACGTGCTTGAAATTGAGCCAGCTCTTAGTAAAAAATTCATTTTTAAAATTTTGAAAACACATTTTTAATACCACACTCCTGTTACAGGGGAGCATGAGCCTCTATAAAAAACCTCTATAATAAGAAATATAAATACTGTTTTTTTTCTTTTATTTCAAGTAAACATATTTGCATTGACATAACCAGAGCAAAATGTTCTTGTGTTCCAGCAGTGGGTGAGCCAATCAACACTGAAGCATGGCAGTGGTACTAGTGTGGTCGGGGACAAGCGTTGTCCCGTGGTTGTTACGTGGTGGCAAACAGGTAAATGGGAACCCACTGATGTTGCTTTTCAAATGATGCAAAAGTCCCGTTTCATGTTGTTATCTCACACACTAATCTTTACACTCACTGTCACTCAGCTAACACACGTCTCCTAGTCTGTAGTGATAGGACTGTAGTTAAATATCTCTATGTCAACGCTCACGTTGGTTTCTTTAAGACTTATTATGACTAATGTTTCCAAGCTGCCAAAAACCTTAGTCAATCGGGATCATCTGGACAATCTCTCAGCACTCTTTGAACCTCTCTCAGATCAAATAAAAAAAGAGTTATTTATCAAGTTTCTTCATTACCCTCAGGGAATGAAAAAGTTAGTGGGTTTTTTTTTCCTAATGGTTTTGATATTTCCTCAATTTGCTGTGACACCAGATACCAGTTAGAAGGATCACAGGTATAGTTATCAATGCAGTTATAGAAAAATGAACGTGTCCATCTGCTGGACGGATGAACAAACTACAGTTGAAGACAAAAGTAAACAATAGAAAATAACAGGGTTTGCATAAAGAAGTAAAATTATTGTTGTAGACAAAGCAGGAAAGATGTAGAAGGAGCACAAGAAAAACAAATACTCAAAGGCTGGATCAGGTTACATTTAAGGTGAAGTATACTGTGATATATACACTCTAAGTTTTTCAATATAGAAGGAAAGGTGGACTCGAGCCTGAAGCCTTCCGGACCAAAGTCCGGCTCCTACTAAGCCACCACTGCCCCTAGAAGAACTTAAGGGTTCACGATAGGAATGAAGTAGTTGGGATAAGGATTAGGGTTAGTAACATAACAGTTTGGATTATTGTTGGGGTTTTGTATAGCCATAGAGTAGTTGCAATTAGGATTTGGGTTTTGGAGTAGGATAGAGAAATTGGGATTAGGTTTAGGGATATGGATTGATTAGTTGGGATTGCTTAGGGCTAGGGATAATGTAGTTGGAATGATCAAAATTAGCATACTATACTAATACATTCCTGAAAGTCTTCAAAAACAAATATAAAAATTCATTGAAATGTATAGTTATCTTCTTTTCCAAGGTTAAATTTCAGAAAAAATACATTTTTTTGGTACGCCAACTTTTGATCACAGTAAATTACTATACTGAAAAAGTCTCCAAATAAAGCTTTCTCAGAAATGACTAGAAATGCACTTATTTGCCTTAAAATACGTATCAATGTCCTTGTATATGGTTGAAATTCAGAAAATATATACTTTTAAGTATATCAAAGCTTGATCACAGTGACATACTATACTAATAGGTTCCTGAATAAGTCTTCAAAAATAAAGGTTTCTCAAAAAAGAATGATAATGCACTCATTTGCCTAGAAATATGAAACTATGTTCTTATATATGATTGAAAATACTTTTTGGGTATGTCAACCATTGATCAATAGCAATATTCTTTACTAATAATCATACAAAAGTCTTAAGTAAAAGAATTCATACAAATACACCAATTTGCAAAGTATTTCAGTTCTAGTGTAATGGACCCTATTTCAATAGACATTCATTTAAAATATGTCAAATAATTGTTCATTGTTATTAATATATTTTTTAAAATATTTTCATTTAGTTCAGTAAGTATCAAAAATGTTGGTTTTATTTTAAATATATGTGACAAAAGCTTGATTTGAAATAAGTCATCTAATGTAGTTTTATTTATAAATTCTGCCTAAAATGAGCTAGTTATTCTTAATTAGCTACAAAATAAATTAAGGCAAGCCTATAAAAAGTAAATTGAGTTTTGCCAAAGAAATGGTCCAAAATATATTGGTGAAAAAAAATGAAAGAAATAGTCTTAAATTAGCTTAGCATTTGTGCTAAAATGTCCTGCCGATTTTTGTCTAAATTTTGCCTAATAATGTGATAAAAGTTCAAAGCTTGCACCAGAGTTGGGGAACAGTTGGCAGAACAGAAATATCCGATTGTTAGCCAGAAGTTTTTGATTGGAAAAGCGCTAAGATGGACCAAAGGTATCGTCCAGTTAGCAAAAAAGTTCTTGCTCTTCTTCTTCTTTGTTTTGACTTTAACTTGAATCTGTTTTATCTGCAGGAGGAGCTGCAGGCCATGCAGATCCAGTAAGAGTTGCTCCACGCTCTGTGATCCCAGCTCCAGCCTGAGGAGGGCACCAATGAACTGCGATGAAGCCCAGGAGAAGCTCCACGTGACAAGCAACAACCTGAAGATGAGGGACCAGGAGCACAACTGGTAAGTAAAAAGATGACGGCGGTGCAGGAAACATCTGTAAACCTGTGGACAAGATGGAGGTCACATCCTTAATGCTGAGGCTTCATTTATGAACTGGTCTCACCAGGATCTGGTCCCAGAAATTTCAATGTTGTTTTTGTTGTTGCTTATCCTGAAAAGTCAACCAACGTCTGACACTTGAAGGCCACAGTTGTTCTGCAGCATCTGCTGAGGAGGCTTCACCCTCCAACATTTCTATTAGTCAAGGTGTATATGTCAGGTGTATATATTTATATATACTAAATCTTTAGTAATCATTGTATTATTTTATTATAATATGTAAACCATCAGAAACACATTTTTCGCAGTAAGGTACTTGAAATATTTCAGAATCAGAGAATTCTAGCGGAACACAGTTTTGGATTATTACAACGAGAACCAAAGTTTATTGACATAAAATGTCCAAAATGTCAAATTAACAAAGTCAGCAAACTCAGAGTCAAGGATTTGTTTCTCCTAACTACATAAATCTACCTAAATTTCTTTAAGGCTTTCACCGAGAGTGAACGTGATACTGTTGGAGAAATGATTCGAAAAAGTCACAAGGGATAATTCTTTCTTCTTCTAAAGTGTGTGTGTACACATATGTTTGTTTGTATACATGTTCATATATATTTTTTTCTTTTTAGGTGTAAGCCACCAGTGCTTTGACAGAAGAGGCAGATGGTAAGCTTACACAGGTACACAACACAACACAGTTGTACAGTAGTGAGCATGTGTGCCACATATTAGTAGTAAGTTAAAGCATTAACAATGCAAACATAGTGATAAACGACTGCGACCAATGCAGTCATCATGAATTTTTTAAAAAGAGCTGCAGCCAGGTTTTGAACTGTACGGCGCCTCAGTGTGGCTGGTAGATCAAATCCTACGACATGCTGTTAATAAGCTGTTGTGACGTGTGAAATAGGTCTCATTTTTACCTTGGACCTCAGGACAAACAGGAGTGCTGTCACACACACACACACACAAGTTCCGCTGTTGGCCAAATGTCCGTACAGAGCATAGCCGTGGCCGCACATCTAAACATTTCTCCATTTTGGATAACTGACGGCGTACTGTCTCCTCTTACAGTGCCGCAGAGACTGCATTCATTATGCCTACGTTATATTTTAAATGGCAGCAACTGTGCAAATATACAATAAAAGCACTAGAACTATTTTCTCCTTCACTTTTGTAAATGATAGTAAGTATTGTTATTGCTGCAGACACTTATTGACAATTTTTTCAAAAGCTAAATGAAATGAAATTCTCAGCGCTGAGTACAATACAACACCAGTTGCATTGTCCTGAGTTTGTGTCAAAATACTTACTATATCATAAGAATAATAGTGATGCTTTCATGTGATATACAGTATATATGTATGTGTATATATATATACATATATATATACATATATATATGTATATATACATATACATATATATGTATATGTATATATACATATACATATATATGTATATATATATACATATATGTATATATATATGTATATATATATGTATATATATATGTATATATACATATACATATATATGTATATATATATGTATATATACATATATATGTATATGTATATATACATATATATGTATATGTATATATACATATATATGTATATATATATGTATATATGTTTGTATATATATATATTTTATTTTCCCCATTTAAAAATGGGGAAAATATGTATTTAGCGCTGTGTGTCTGATCCGTCATTATAAATCATATAATTTGTTAGTGGTTCGAAAGCTATTATATATTTGCATTGTTGTTGTCCTGAGTCCTCTGAGTCACTGATTCGTTTTAGCTTAGCTTCTCTCCTGCTTGTTCTCGATCACTCCAAATCAACAATGGAAACACGTTACATGCACAAAGTCTTTATTGTGAATGTGTATTATTCCAAGATTTTTCTTTTTTTCCCATACATCTTTAATAACACGACACTAAGCACAAAATCCGAAGAAAAAAAAAACCCGGTGGCGCTACATTGTAAAGATGCCAGTCCACACTTTACTGCTGAACTACTCAAAGCCGCTCTAAACGCTTATATCCACTATAGAATCAATACAATATTCAGTGTTATATCTGTGAAACACATCAACCAGTTAGTACAAATAGCATATATAGTACTGCAAAAAAAGAAGTGGCGTGTTAGTAAAATGAAGTCAAAAATCTATAGGAGAACTCGTGAGTCTCGGGGGCATTTTTACATGATCCCTTAGTGATGACTAGTAGGAAATTCCCAGGGGTCTAAATGGGGAAAGTGATCATCTGTTATACTATAACAGTTTGAAAAGGCAGAGGTGATTTTTTTGGGAGCGTGATGCAGTGACTGACCTGATTAGCTCCTCCTCCAACTGCCTTTGACGAAGGCAGCTCGTTCGCTTTCGGCTCAATGTCACGTGGTAGTTCCTGATCCAGTGCTGCCTCCTTAGTTAAGTACACACGAGTTCAGTAAAACCAGGAAGAAGAAGAATAAATACTCAAATAAAAAAAATATCACATTTGAGGTAGAAGTAAATGCCATAATTAAAACCAGCGAGTTAGAAGTGCTTCCTAGCAGTAAGAGTACATAGAAGACACGTTGTTGAAGACGTGAGCAGACATACAGTAGATTCTATTGGCCGACACTTCCAGTCCATCGGTTTAAGTTGCAGGTGATGTGCTGCTTAAAACTACATTCTATCTGAAATCCTAATGCCCTGCGTTTATATAATGCTACGAACGTACTCTGTTGATGAAGTAAATATATATATATTATAAATCTTTTTTAACCTAAGCAAAAGAAAGAATATACAGGATGTAGCACAAATGGTTTTCGGTGTAAAATGGACTTTGTGATTACGTTGCTACGGGGGTCAGTGTGTACTGTACTACTGGAGGTCTTAAGTCACAGTGCTCAGTGGGTGTTGAGAGTAACCGTACACTTAAGTCGCCGCTTGGTAAAAACAGGCTCGTGCGTTGCTAACTGCAATCCAAGTTTGGTCTTTGTAATCCAAGGTGTCTGCTTTGTTTGTTTATTATTATTATTTTTTTGGCACGTATTTTCCTTACAGTATTTATTTTTATTGTTTTTTTTTTTGGCACGTATTTTCCTTACAGTGACAACCGTGCCTTTCAAAGCGAGCGAAATAATAATTCCTTCCATCGTTAGCACCCTTAGCTGGGACCGTGTTAAGCCTCTACGGCCCACCCCCCCCCCACTATGCGTTTAGTGCACAAAATACAAAACATATGGCAGAGGACACGTGGGACAGAGAGGACGGAGACACGAGAGGACATATGATACATTGCTGCTGTGAGTTCAGTGCTGCAGCTCAATTCCCACGGCCTCTCCATGCAGCTGAGGGGCTTTAACAGCAAGGTGAAAAAAAAAACTCTTGACGTGTCCTGTTGTTCGTGTGTGGGCTGGGACAGGCGGTCCATCATGTGTCCCCGTTCTGTGTCTTGCGCCTTGTTTCGTTCCATTTACCGAAGCTGGTGATGAGGGTGACTCCTGAAGTCTTTGTGTCTTTGTCAAGGGCTGTTTTTAAAGGTGTTGACAAGAATGCATCGACCAGACAAAAGCTCCTCCGAACCCGTGATTTGCGTGTTATTTTCTTCTATGAGCGAAAGGTTTTTCAATAGATTACAGACACGTGAGGAAGTACTGTAATATTGGGTGCACGTTTGTCACACATCCATGTAATGACTATAGGTGGTTACGAGGCGGTGCAGGTGCAGGCCAGGTGGTCAGATGCCTTCTCCAGGTTCAACCACCGCCGGACGAAACTCAGGTTTTCACATTTACTAAAAAAAAAAAAGAAAGAAAAAGAAAAAAAAAGAAGGAAATGTATTAGTTGAAAAAGCTGCTGCATGTTTCGCCACCCAGTAAATGGATGTAGACATGTTTACTGACCACAGAGGACATTTACGTAAGGTGAAAACAAGAGTGGCTGAGTCCCAAAGGACACCCCGCTCAGATGTGCGTGCATTTGCTTCTGCAGCAATTAAGTTAATTGGAACCAGGCTCAGTTTAATGAGACCCATCACGCAGAAACCATGTGCGCATTACAACACACAAGCACATTTAATTATGTGATGTAACTAACTGACCGCTCATTAAAGGGACACATCTGTAGAGTTGATCTGTGAAGTACTGATACATGCAGTAGCATGTACTGTAGCTTTCCCTGTCCAGGACATTTTAAGGTAGCTCTGTGACTGACAAAATGATCGTCTTATATAACCTACCATGTGCCACTAATGAAACTTAAGGAAAGAAAGTGAATTACTTTATATGGAGTTGATCTGTGAAGTACTGTGTACTGTAGCTTTCCTGTCCAGGACATTTTAAGGTAGCTCTGTGACTGACAAAATGATCGTCTTATATATGTGCCACTAATGAAACGTAAGGAAAGAAAGTGAATTACTTTATATACTGCACACTACCAAATGTGACCTCTGCTTTTAACCCATCACCAAAGTGACCACTGGGGCGCGTGTGGTAACTTGGCAGCTGGTGGATTCGAACCTGAAGCCTTCCGAACCCCAAGTCCGGTTCCTTAACCACTAAACCACCACTGCCCCAACATAACCTAGTGCAACACTACTGTGTACTGTTACATAATGCAGTGTGATATAATTAGCGTGACTTAACATAGTGTGACATAACTAGTGTAACAAAATGTAGTGTGATATAACAGTGTAAAATAATGTAGCATAACATAACTAGCATAACATAACGTACTGTGAGATATCTAGTGTAATATGACGTAGTGTTACATGACAGTGTAACATAATGTAGCATAACATAACTAGCGTAGCATAACGTACTGTGACATTACTAGTGTAACATAACATAGTGTGACATAATGTAGCGTGACATTACTGGTGTAACATAATGTAGTGTGACCTGACATAGTGTAACATAACGTTGCGTAACACAACGTGGTGTAGCATAACATAGAATAACGTCATGTGGTAACGCATCATAACATATAACGTAATGTAACGTAACACAATGTAACATAGTGTAACATAACATGAACCTATGTAATGTTACTCATTCGTACATAGGCGTAACACTATACAATGTAAATTAAATTACATTGTGTGCGTTGGTGGTCCAGTGTGAGGACACCTGCCTGCTCAATGTTCAATTCCGCCTATTGCCCCAAATCCTGACCCAATGAGGAGGGCAGTGTTATAGGAACACTTAGTTAGCACAGTCTACAAACTGTGCCAAATCAATACACAGACTGTTGCTATGGTGACCGGTAAAAAAGGGCCATCCTGATAAAACATTTTTGTATTAAGTCCAAAACACTTTGTTTGTAGTTAGGGTTAGCATTAGCTTAAGTCTGTTTGTTTTTTTTTATCCCTGTTTGCATCTGTGTTGATAGCCTCAGAGGAGCTAATCATGCACACAACAGAGTCAGCACTAACTACAGCTGAGGACAATGTTATTGTTAGCAAGGAAATGTAGTGTTTTAACACTAAATAATATACTGTATGGGTAGGTGCATTATGAATACAGAAACGTCTTAGTACTCTTTAACTGTGCGGATGTAACGATTAAGCAATTAAAAAAAAAAAAACACTTCAGCAGCAAAACCAGAACTGACTTTTAGTTTTGTAAAATGACCTCATTTCTATGTGTAAAACAAAATAACGCCAAGCTAAACTTTAAACTAATTGAGAAAAAAAAAAAAAGGTTTACATGCCAGTACCACTTTGTAAAGAGTGTACTAGATGTCAGTATTTAGAATCTTACCGATACTTATAACAAATGACTAAGAAGTATTTTTCACTGATATGTTATCAGAATCCTTTTTATTAGCCAGATATATTAAAGGTACATTGATTTAACGCAGTAATACATGTGGTAGAATGACAGGGAGATTTTTTTTTTTACAACGTAACAAGCAAACACATCAAGACGGACTGTACACACGGCAGACTACACAGTTCTCCGAACAGATGCACACACACAGCCGACATGCAGTCAGTTACAGCTGAGACCACAGGAGGCGATATGAAGAAATATGCCATAAAATGTAGATTTTTTTTTACGTTAAAAGCGATTAGTGCGTTGCTCCGCGGAGTTCAGTAGCTAAAGTGCAGCAGTGTCTAAAGAGTCATGCAGGAGTGCGTTCTATATTTTAGATTCAGATTGATATAGTGCAAGCGTAAATAGCATAGAGGTCTCAGATATTACGGCCAGATTGTGCTAACAGAGCCAAATGTTATACTGTGTTAAGGTTAATATTGACAGGAGTTATTGTTAGGCCAGGAGCATCTTTGTTAGCCTCGCTACAACAATACGTTTCAAAATTCACTCCCAAAACAAAAGCAAAGGAAGGAACTGGAAAGAAATACCATACTTTCCAGACTGTAAGTTGAACCAGCTAAAAGTGCATAATAAAGAAGAATAAAATATATAGAAGTCGCTCCTACATATATGTCGCACCAGTGCCCTCTGGCAACTGTCAGTGTGAAAATAACGAACATGTACATTCTCAGTGGTACAGGAGTAGCAGATACTGGTACACAAGCCTAGAGTGCCCTCTAGTGGATGTCAGTGTAAAAATAAACATGTGAAAGTATATATTTTAATATATATGTCACGACTGAGAATAAGTCGCAAATCATGCCAAAGGATGGGGGGAAAAAAAAAAAAGTGTTATAGACTTATAGTCCGGAAAATACGGTAATTGCTTTTCACAACAACACAGAAAGAGAGAGGTAACGAATGAAGTGAGAATTTAAAGGTCCGATTTTGGACACTCACTGGCCAGGTTGACAATGCAGGCAATGATAATGAGAGACCCTCCAACTAGAGATACCATGGAGAGCATCTTGGCCACACGCCCGAGACGGACCGCACCGTCCAGGTTCCCCTGCTCCAGGCTGTTTTTAGACTAAGGGAGAAGATGTGAGGAACTGTATTAGGCAGGCGTTAAAAAAAAAACAAAACACACTGAACACAGCTGCGGACAGTGGACGGAAGAAAACCCACGTACCATGATGGAGTAGACGAATCCCACAATGTTTATGGGCCACACGGGGCAGAAACAGGCCAGCACGGACAGGAGGAGGTAGTCTTTCACGTTAGATCTGTCCAAGGGTGGGTTGGTGGCGATGCTGGAGTGGCGGGATATTGAAGGCCTTGGCGAGAAAGCGGTATAGCCGATCGAGCTGGCCCTACTGCCCTTCCTGGTCTTGCCGTGGTGAGGGTATGAGATGGAGTGTTGTCGTCTGGACGGAGGGGAAACAACGGGGAAGCTGCTGTCTACGTCCACCGAGTTCCTCCCGTTACCTACACGTCAGAAGGCAAAAGGGACATTCATCTGTTAGAAAAAAACGCTCCGCCCAAATTGTGCGAGTGTTGCCTGAATTTCACCTTGTTTTAGCAAAAACAACCAGGGTGCGATTAGCCACATTTAGGGTTGACTAAAAGCATTCAATGAGTTCTAATGTGGGAATTTGAAGCAAATCTGTGTGTGTGTGTGTACGTGTATTTGTACATTGTGTACAGTCACGTGCACTTGGATCTGCCTTTGCCCCGACTCAGCTGACTCGGCAGATATACGAGCCCCTGCCGCGCCCCAGTCGCGCCTGTAGACGCCCCGCGGGGGGCCCGGGTGTCGGCTGGTCTCCCGCCGCCGTGGATGAGATGTTCAACCACAGATGGTGGGCATGGCACAGATATGGAGGGTTGGTCCGACAGTGAGGCGTCCTGGTCCAGGAGGGGGGGCTGATCCTCTCCTGCTGGCCAAAGGGCAGGAGCTGGCATCATGTTTACAGCCATGCAGATGGCAAAGATCGAGTCCTTTTGTCGTGGATTAGACCGAATGTGCGGTTTGTTGGTGAATCCTGTGGGTTTAAAATACAAATTACAAATTAAAACACGAATAAATAAATAAATGTGTGTGTGTGCCAACTTTGCCTCATACTCTGATTCTGGGACAAGATGCAAAGCCGCTGAGAGGACGCTAGGTGTGTACAAAATGCGAAGGACAACGGGTGGGTTAAGATATGTCTGATGTTCATGTTGAATATAAAATACGTTATACATATTTTCCTGGCAGAGTTTATGCGCGTCTCATATTGTTGTGAACAAAAACAAGTCACGGTCAGTGGTCAGGGGATACTGTTGCAACAGTACCACATGGAACGCAGGCACTGGGAAGTAGATCGGTTTCACCCCCCCCCCTGCCCTTCAGTCTATACACTGAACTGCGCATATGTATTTCCTGCTTAAGACAATTCTCATTTGTCCTCATCGATGTATTGGTGAGATAAAGCTTTCGCGGTCAGTGAAGCTAAGGTCATCAAAATATATTATTCTGCCCAGTCACAGTTTCACTGTCAGGATGTTGTTTCTCTCCTCATTTTCCAAACATGGACAATATTTATGGCCATAGATTTTTTTTTTTTTGTCCTCTGACACTTCAATTCCCCACTGGGTTGAGTCATAGGTGTAATTACTGTCATTTGGGTATGAAGATCTTTCAAAAACATAAATATCTCGTTTTTATCTCCAAACCATCAGATTACTCTTCCATCTACATATACTTTGGTTTACTTTACTGAGGACCAAACAATTGTTCTTTGTGTCTAATTACCCTTTTGTGCCTTGTTCAAGTCATCGTTTTGATCAGATATTCAAAACCACATCAAGGTTCACAATTTTAGAACATTAGCCTCCGTTACAAACAAAACAACCGAAAGCCTTTTACTGTTGTAGTTTGTTCCAGGTGGTCTTCAAATAAATGTTGGAAATGTTTTGATGCTGCAGTACGTAAAATGGATGATGTTGAAATCATCCACAGTTATTTACAACAATCTGAAGCGTCTGCTAAAAGCATGAACGTTAACGTACAAACAAACAGTCCAGTAAAGCTTCCTGAAACTCAAGAGGCGGTGAGGCAAACAACATCTCCTCAAATACCTCAACAGCATCAAGTACTGTATCAAGTACATCATCAGGTAAAAATATAAAACCTGTAAACTTGTTTTCACTTGTGCATGATTTGTTCTCCTTTTTTTTACTATTTTATTAAATATCCGGTAATATCGGCCGGCCGATATTCCTGAGATGTTTACCACATTTTGGGGGGGGGGGGGGGGGCTGCATATATCGGTTGATATCAGAATGGGAATTTAAGTGTTTGAACAATGCTGGCTTATCGGATATTAGCAAAAAAGTTAATGACGGACATCCGTAGTAAACATTTTTTTTTTTTGCTTTAGTTGTAGCTTAGAATCCACCTTGATCGAGCGCATTTCGTTTGTGACAGGTCAACAAAGCCACTCGTGATCCTCGTATCGTAAAGCAGGTGGAGCATGCTGATGGTTGTGTAGACGCGGTCAATGTGTGAAAAGCAACAACAGAGAACAGAGAAGAAGAAGAAGAGCCCCGGCCAGGTGTGTACATAGTATCATTTCATCGTGTGTACACAGCGTGTACAGCGCGCCGTGTACGCGTCGTTATCTGTGTTATTGGGGAAAAGAACAAAGGACGAGGACAGAGGACATGCACGCACACAAAGATGCACGCTAGTGTCATGATGGTGGAAAAGGGGGGGGGGGGGAACACCGAGTCACCGTGAGGATGGATGGAGGAGGTGCCTGGTCTGTTTTGTGTTGCTGCCGCTGATTTGCATTCAGAGAGTGAGGGCAGCTGCCATCGGGCATTAAAATGCATGAATAGAATGTTGATGAATTACAAATAAATCCCCACAAACAAATCACCTCGCTGACTTACCGATGCGTTTTGTTCTTATTCATCCAGCATCTCCGCATGAGACATGATGGAAAACAGCAGTATCAGAATCAAGCTCCCATCCTCATTAGCGAGATATTCTCTCCAAAACACAAGAGTCGCCGTGCGGGGTTGTCCTGAGTCCAGACCAGACCAGACGCTGAGCCTTGGTTGTGTCAAAACAAGAACAAGAACAGAAGTGGTGAGGATGGAGATGGAGGGCAGAACCTGACTCCAGCGCTGAGAGAGGATGACTGGAGGAGGAGCTGTGCGTTCTGAAAAGTGAAACCAGACAGAATACGTGTTGTGGAGATAGTGAGGAGGGGTGGGAGTGTGTCTAAGGGTGGCGCTAAAGAAGAATCCGTGTGTGCCAATACGTTCCCAAATTTAACAAAGTGAACAATATAAATTCCTGGTGTGGAAATAAAAATTCAATATTTTTTACTGAATAATAAAAATGTACTTACATTTATTTTTTTTCTCTTCTTAGATTGGATTGAAGCTCCACAAACGCATGGTGGTGTTGTAAATTACAACCAGTGACAATAAACCGTGTATCACAGCAATTACAATTGGGTGGACGGTGGGATTAGTTATACCAGTGTTATATTAGTTATGATACCATTGGTTGTACCACAGCACATGTGGAAAAACTCCACGGCACACCACCAAACAAAAATGGCACAAAAGGTATATGTAATAAATTCATAGACACAATGAAATATAATAATATTCTAGTTTTAAATGTACTAATGTACTCCTACCAACTAGTTTAAATTTGTGTGCCGTAAGAGGTATATATACACATATATATACATATATATATATATACATATATACATACATATATATATACA